TGTGTGTCCCGCTGCCTCCCCCGCCTCCCTCCACCCCCATCCCAAACTGAAGAGACTTGACTGGGAAGGCTTAGCGAGTTACAGTGCGTCCAGCTGGTGCACGGAGCCGGGGCAGGGCCGCGGAGGGGGCCCCCCCAGGCAGAGGGGGAATGAGGTCGGTGTTGACGTCAGCTTCTGGGGAGTCTCACGTCAAGTCCCAGACTTGCCCGGGGAATACACTTGGCTTAGCAGGGTCCTCCTTTCACAGGCATTCACCAAAGGCCTACTGTGTGCCCAGACACAACGCTGGATCTTGGTGGAGTGACTCACTGGATTCTAACTACGAGTTCTGAGCCTCAGCCAGGGTTCTCCGAGAAGCAGAACCAACAGGAGACAGACGCCAGCGTAGACACAGAGAAGCATTTACACAGACGGTAGACTAGAAAGATGGATGGAGGGATGGGCAGATGAGATGACTGATATGTGATTGACAGAGAAAGAGATTTATCTGAAGGACTTGGCTCATGCAGTTGTGAAATCTGCAAAGTCTCAAGTCCGCAGGGCAGGCCAACAGGAGACTAGAGATTCCTACGGATTGCTACGTTTCAGTCTTGAGGCGGAAGTTCTTCAGGAAACCTCAGTGTTCGCTCTTCAGGCCTTCAACTAACGGCATAAGGGCCACCCCACATTACGAAGGGTAATTTCTTTAACTCAAAGGCAGCTGATTGCGGATGCTGATAACCAGCACGGGACACCTTCACAGCAGCACCTAGGTTAAGGGTTTGATGAAGTGATTGGGCAATGTCACCAGGCTGACACGTACAGCCGAACCCTCACACTCGGCGTCAGTCAGATGAGGCATCAGAGGCGCAAAGGCCCCCTGCCTGGCCTGGAGTCACGGAGCTGGGGACTGGCGTGGCAGACTGTTCGGCCGGGTCTTTGAGTCTCCACTGCCTGTGTTTTAAGACCGGCAAAGTGTCAATCACCTTCACTTCTGCTGACCCGAGTCCCAGATGAGGGGCGCAAGGGTGACCCCAACCCTGAGTGGCGCACAAGAAGGCCGAGCCTCCACCTGCCAGCATACCTGGCCACTGAGAACTCAATCTTCCCTCCTGAGAAGCTTCTCCATGTAAGGGGATGGGTGGGGTGGTGACCCCCAGGATCTGCCAGTGGTACCCCAGCCCAGTCCCAGCTCGGCAGACCACCCAGAAAGTTCTCCCCACCTCGTGTCCTGAGCCCTCCTGCCACACCGGACCCAGCCCAGACTGATGCACAGCTACAGAAAGAGACGTTTCCAGCGAAGTGCCATCTCGTAATCCTTTCAAGAGGGGCCCCTGGAAAAGCAGGCATGCCACACACTTAGCTCTCAAAAGCGATGCGAGAAGGAAAGCATCTGTGCCTGGGTTTTCCGCAGCCCCTCCGCAGGGGCCCCGTGGGCTGTCACATTGTTTCCAGTTGTGTTTATGGTAAACTCGGGCCGTAAAATGCCTTAGCCGCTGTGGAAGGTAGAGGGAGTCTTCGGAGACAAATTCTCCTTCCAAATCTTCTAGCGCGTTTTCCTGATGGAAACGAAACACAGGAAGTGGCTCTGCCGGACCGATGTCTTTCCCCTCTGAGCTAGAGATTAAAAAGCGAAAAGCACAGGTTAAGATGGAAAGGAAAAGAGATATTTTGCAAGTTAGTAGGCACAGCTCCCGAGGGAAGGGCTGGGGGTTTTGCCCACGGAATGTTGGGAATCCTCCAGACACACCCAGCGGGAGGGAGGGGAGGGCCGGCTTCAGAAGGACTGATGGGCAGGTCATGGGTTGCAAAAGTGTGACACAGACTCAGCGCAGAGCTGTCAAAGGGAGGCGGAGGTGCTCATCATGGGTGGAGCCCGAGCGGCCAAGCCCCAGCGGGGTGGTGGCAGCTGCCCGGGGCTCTGGGCATCGCTTGGCTGTGTGCCCTTGGGTCTGTGTCTCCACCACTCTGGTTCCACCCATCTCACTCCTGGAAGCCTGTCCATCCAGATAGGGGGCTGAGGTGGCATGGGGCTCACCCCCTCCCACATTCTTAGCGCCACCCAAACACTGAATGAATGGCCAGCCCCCACTCTGCACCGGGAACGGAAACCAGGACCAAGCTTGCTTTGTGTGCGCCACACGACGGAAGTCCAAAGAGTCAGACCCCCGCCGGCTCCCTGCGTTTTAGGGAGAACAGAACCCAAGCTAGAGTGACTTTCTAAACTGTTTGAAATACGATACTGAAGATACAAAAGTATACGGGGAAGTAGACAATGGGAAATTATCTAAGCGTCCAACACTGGGTGGTTCATGGAAGCATGACCACACGGTGGGGTGTGGACCAGCCAACACAGCGACCTTTTTTTTTTAAACATGTATTTGTTTATTTTTTTGTTAATGGAAGCACTGGGGATTGAACCCAGGACCCTGTGTGTGCTAAGTATGTGCTCCACCACTGAGCTGTACTGTCGCCTCCCAACACGGGGATCTTTTCCAAAGATCTTTCATGACAGGGAAGGATTCTCATGACATCTTATTACTAAGTGAAAAAGAAAGCAGGTTATGAACAGGGAGGCATGGTAAGCTCGCACTGACAGAAGCATGTATAGTTGTGGTAGGAAATTTCCCAACAAACACCCACCAAGAAAGACTGGAAAGCAGTGCAGTAAAGAGTAACACGGCGATGCTCGCAGGGGTGGATTCCAGGTGATTTTCATTTTAATCACTTCACTTATTTCATGTTTTAGACACTTTACCTATGAACACGTGTTCATTCTGTGATCAGACACCAAGTAGGTTTTTGAAATGATCATTAAGGCAGCTTAGGAGAAGAAATCCCTGGGAAGGACCGAATTTCAGAGGGCTGCGTGGTCGGGGCCAGCTGGGCGGTAGCTCCATCAGCAACGTCCAGCCCCCTCCCAGGGGCGCAGCCACGGCCACCCTGGGTCTGGATTCCCGGCAACAGAGAAGCACCTCACCCCATCCAGCGTCTCGCCCACCCACACCCCTTCCCCACGCCGTCAGTGCCCACCAGGTGGGCGTGGCTGAGGACACACTGGTTGAGTGACAGGGAGGGTCGCATTTGTGTCTTTGCCGGCACCCGTGGCCCCAGTGAGAACTCAGGTCCCAGAGGTGGACCGAGCCACGCAGGACGCCACGGGGCCTCAGGGGTCATCGGCTCCCACGGCTACATCAGCGCAATCGTCCTTGTCCTTTTTAACCTCTAACAGCTCAGAGGTCAAACTCCGACTGGTCTCTTCAGGGGCTTTTTCCTCTCCCCTCAGAGCCGAGCCTGCGATGGAGATCACGGGCTCTGGAGGCAGGGGGCACGGGCTCCGCCCCTGTGGATCTCAGTGACCTCGAGCAGGCTGCTTAAGCTCTCTGGCCTCAGTTTTCTGGGCTGTAAAATGGGACAGTCACTGTGGACCTGCCTCTGGCCGCGGTAGGGAGGATCAGAGGATGCAAAACACAAGAGACGTGCCAGGTAAGTGCTGGTATTATCGAAACTGAGGCTGATTTCCCCAAAGGGCTGGCAAAGGTTCTGCACACCACGTCCATCTGTCCATCTATCCAAACCCTGGCCTGGGCACCACAGAGAGATGGGGTCAGGAGAGAGGAAAAAACAGAGAGAGAGAGAGAGATGGAGAGAGAGGTCTCGTCTGCAAGGAGGCAACGTCTTCAGAGGTCCAAGTCAAAGAGACTAGAACAGCTCCGGCACACTCAGCAGTGTGACCCTGATAGGAGGACAAATGGGGGAGGGGACCGTCAGCCAAGGCTGGGTCTCGACGGGGCAGGACCAAGCGCTCAGCTGTGTCAGCGAGGTCTCCGTAGTTTCTACAAGCCACTGTCCCAGGATGGATTTCCCTGGAGTGAACAAGTCCCCATTGCCCTGTTACTGTTCCTCCTTCCCCACCGGTGACTTAATAAGGACCCGCCCGTCACCTCCTTTACACGCTGCTCTGACAATGCCACCCCAAGGCCCCGGGACCTGCCTTCTCCTTTCTGGCTTCAGTCTCGACACAGGGACCCGCAGAGCGTGGCCCATGGGTCCTTTGGGCCCTGTGGGGAAGCAGGAAGACCTCCACGCCTTGCCCACCCACCTCCTTCCCTCCATCCGAGGCAGCCCCTTCCTCTCCCGCCGCCGGGCCTCCCGCAAGCCTCGCCAGCCCACAGGTCCAGGACCACCAGCACGCCTGCCAGCAGCCAGCTTCGTGCGGCAGGGAACAGGCCACACCCACCACAGAGCCCTGGACTCCTTCCCACTCATCGTCCAAATGCGAGAGGACCCCAGGGCCAGACAGGGAACTGGACCGGCCCACCTGGGGGGCGGCCCTCTCCTTGCGCCCAGAGTTTCAACCTGGTTAGGGTCCCCTTCCCTTCTAGAAGATGCTGAATGACCCTGGGGCACAAGGGCCACCCCCGTCCGGCCCCGGGCAGTGCTGGGAGACCTGGCTGACGAGTGGGGGCCTCCAAGGAGCGGGCGCTTGGAGTCAGAGTCCTAGTTACGCTGCTTTTGGCGTGGTGGCTCCGTGCATCTGCGAGGGCCACCTCCACAGCGCACCTGAGCTGGAGGCCGCAGGATTAGGGGCCATCCTTTTCCCGACCCTCGGCAGTCCTGGGCCCACGGCCCTCACAGGGGGCGGCTCGGGAGATTCAGATGAGCGGCTCAGCCCTGTCTGAGCGGGGCCAGGCCTCCCCGAGGCCGCGGCAAGCAGCCTCCTGCTTGTGTTGGCTGAGCCGCCTGCACCCATGAGCCCGGTGACTCACCTGGGTTTAGCTTCGAGCAAGAACTAAAGCCGAAATCCCAATGAGAACCCTTCCCACAAACCCTAAGCCAGCCTCCCCGTGGAGCGGCACAAACAGCAATCAAGCGTCCCGGCTCCCGTCCGTACACATAATTATGCGCCCTTCACACACAGGGAGACTGAGGCAAGACCGCCACAGTCTGTGTTGGGATTGGACCGTCGCCCGAGTGAGCTGGTCTCACCGTCTAGCCCGGCAGCAGGGACATAATCCCGGATGAGCTGGGATGTCGTCCCCAAGCCCTGGGTCTGGGTCAGCTTCGCCCGCCGGGGGCCCAGAGGCCCCGCCCTAAATGAAAGCGGGGCCCGGGGACACCTGGACCGCGGGAGTCCCGCCGACTCCCAGGGGACAGGGGCTGCTGTCTCCTGCCAGCTCTGTGCCCAGATCTGGCGACTCCTCGACACTCTGAAAGCTCATTTTGCACGTGAGAATACGGCAATGTTTTCAAGTTACTGAGCAGTGCAAGTTTCTTTAAAACATCACGTGCGTGGAGTGGATCCAGCCCCTGAGAAACAACTCTGGGCCGTTTCCCTAGACCAGCGCAGCCTGAGGGAAATGCGATGGCAGCCCCATCGTCATTCTACGCTCTCTCGCTGACAATTTAAAAACATGGAGGTAAATTCCAGGTACAATTAATTGTGTAACATCTTTTATTTAGCCCAGCGGCCAAACGACTCTCCCTGCAGTGTGCCATCGGGATAGAGATCACTCATGAGGTGGTCAAGGGTTTGACAACCTGGCTGACTTCTCCCTCAGAGCACATCTCGGTTTGGACCAGCGCCTTTGCAAGCGAGGGCAGTTTGGACCAGCTCACAGGGGCCCCGGGGCTGCCCTATGGCACAGCCGGGCTTGGGAGCCTGCCGGACCCTGCACGATCAGCGTTCTCTACCTCCCTCCCCAGCACCCTTTGCTCCCAGCGCTCAGGCCGGAAGCTCCACGCACCCAGCCCCTGTCTCATCTGCCAGGCAGAGAATGTTTTCACGTGTCCTATGAATGCATCCGTTTTCTGTATTTCTCCCCCCTCCTTGACCTAAACTGTGTGGGTGGGTAGCTCCTAGACCTCCTCACCTCCAGCGCCTGCACCCTCGGCCCCAGTTCCTTCACTTCGCTGCCGGAAAGGCCTCTGGAAAGCCAGCATCCGACCTCCCGCACGCAGACGCGCGTCCTTACCGTGCCTCTCCGCTCCCCAAATGTGCTACGAAGCGCCAAGGCATCGTGGCTCTGCGTGTGCTGTTCCACCGCCTCGTGTGCCCTTCCCCCTTGCTCAGTCTGGGGAGCTCCTAGCCGCCTTCTGAGACTGTTCAAACGTTGCCCTTTCTGGGACCCCCTCCTATCCCCCAGAGCGAAACAGAGCACCCTTGCCTTCTTCCTTCCGGCCCTCCGTCAGAACGCGTGCTGGGCCGTGCTGAACTCTCTCGTGCGTCCTCTCTCTCTCAGTACTCGTCTGGGTTATGTGAGGACTCACAACACGGTGCCGCCACGTACCTGGTACGGGGGCTACGCAAACTGCACCCCGAGGGCCGGGTGGTACGCAAGCCACATAAGTGATGGGGTGTTCTCTGTATCAGGCGCTGATACAAAGTTCCCCATTACACGTCACCATTGTTCACCGAGTCTTCCTGTCACTATCCCCGTGGTGCTGTTAAGAAAACCGGGACTCAGAGAAGTGAAGCAACTTGCCCAGGGTCACACATCTCCTAAGCGGCTGGGCCAGCATCCAGACCAGAAAATCTGGTCCAACCACTATGTTAGGCCACTTGCGAATTCCTGAATGGTGACAGGGATGGTGACTTCGCAACATTCTGGCAGCCTGAGTAAGAAGCCCAGGAAGGCGCACTCCGGACCTCTGCCTGCCCGGCTTGAGCTCGCCTTCTGCTCTCAGGGCAGATGTCACCTCTTAAGAGCCCGTCCCCGTCCCCCTCCATCCCATTCCCCTCTCTGCCACCGTCACACAGCGCACGTCGGTCTCTGAACTCACTGCCTTCTCGGTTTGTTTGTCACGTGTCTCCCTCCTACAACACCTGTCCCTCGCCTTTCCCCCCTCGTCTGGGCTGTGTCCGCAGTTCCTCACACGGCGCCCGGCGCGGGGAAGACACAGGGAAACACCGGCCGCATCTCTGAATAAACGTGTGGGTGAGCGAGCCTGGGGCTCCCACTCAGACGCCACCTCTTCCCCAGTCCCCGGCCTCTGCCCCTCAGCCTGGGCGGGAGGACCTGCGGGATGAAGAGGCACCGGAGCATCACAGAGTCAGGACAGCGAGCGCGAGGCGAGACTGGGAGGCCGGGCCCACAGGCACGGCGAATGGAGTCACACGGTGAACTCCCTGCTCAGAGAGCCAGCGACGGACTTCTCCGCAGGGCCAGATGAACACTGCTCACCTTTCAGCCTGGACAGTCTCTGTCGCGGTGACTCAGCCCTGATGCTCCCGGGCAAGTAGCCGTCTGAGAAATGTCCAGGAGCGGGCATGGTGTGTTTCAATAAAACTTTATGTGCAAAGGCCTACAAAGGCAGGCATGGATCTTTTCACCGACTCCTGCCTTTTGAAAGGGTAGGGCTGAAGCCGGAGGAGTGATGATCCAGAGTTTCCCGTGCCGGGACCTCTCTGCGCACTTGAACAAGGATTGGCTGGAGTTGGAGTGAGACGTCGGGGTGGGGAACCCCGGAGTGGGGCCACGAGGACCTCACAGAGGAAGGCACGAGCTTCGTCATGCACGGGGCCCAGGGAGCGGCTGCATGGCCATCATAACAGCAGCGCCCTTGCGGCTTTAGGTTGCAGAGAGGAAACCCATCTCCGCCAGGTGCTTTCCATGTGGCTTCTTAAGCTGCGGGGCCACAGGGACACGTGGATTTTAAGTGCTCGGTGCCGTGCCTGGAAAAAACAGGCACAAGGCATAGAAAGTTCAGATCCTGGGTCCTTTCAAAAGCCAACAGACTCCAGCCAGCAGCTCACCAAATAGCCCTGTGGCGACCCAAAGGATGGCGTCCCACTGTGCCCCGTGAGGAAGACGCAGCCCCTGCGGTCAGAACGCGGCCCTGCTCAGCCTCCTGCCTGGGCCGGCCTCTGAGGAACCGACACAGACCCTACAGAAGCCTGTCAGGCGCCTTCCACCCCCCTCCCTGATGGGGGGCCCCTGCTCGGCCCGGGCGCCTCCTCCGCAGGGCCCCACGGCTGCCCCCGCGTGGCCTGCACCCCTCGCAGGGCCCTGATTCACCCCCCCCCCGCCTCGGCCAGACCTTCACCCTTCAAAACCCCTGACAGAGGGAACCTCTCCGGCCTAAGCCCGTTTGAGTCGGGTTTTGCCGCTTGCTGAGGGCCCTAACTGATGCAACGGAAACAGAAATTGAC